CTCCTTCACATAACACAAGAACCAGGGGTCACCCAATGAAATTAATAGGCAGTAGGTTTAAAACAAACAAAGGAAGTATTTCTTCACAGTCAACCTGTGGAACTCTTTGCCAGAGGATGTTGTGCAGGCCAAGACTATAACAGGTTTAAAAAAGAACTAGGTAAGTTCCTGGAGGGTTGGTCCATCAATGGCTATTAGTCAGGATGGGTAGGGATGCAAGCCCATGCTCTGAGTGTCCTTGGCCTCTGTTCGTCACAACCTGGGAGTGGACAATACTCGATTGCCTGTTCTGTTCATTCCCTCTGAAGGACCTGGCGTTGGCCACTGTTGGAAGACAGGAGACTGGGCTAGATGGCCCATTGGTCTGACCCACTATGGCCACTCTTATGTTGTTCTTAACTTTCCTGTGTGGGTGGCTCAGTAGGGGGTGTCATGGATCCATAGGTCTGGTGCTCTTGAACGGCTCTAGAACAGACCCTTGATGGGCTCTAGAACAGTGTGTCAGCCCCTTAGGCTCACACCCTTTCACTATGGGAAGTTCCTTGGCCTCACCGCCTCCTGGGACCAAACTTCAGAGCCCTCAGCACTCCCATGTCACACAGAAATCTCTCTTTAGCGAGTCCACCAGAGTTGGATAGCTGAAGGAGCCATGCACCCCCAACTTCCTGACTGTGGAGTGACTCTCAGTCAGCGGTGTAGCAGGAGAAGGGTTTATTAGATGTCTGGAACACAGCGTAGAAAGTCCTTAGTTAACATGGAGAACAGAAAGTTACAGCCTGGTCCATCTGGGTCCGTCCAGAGCCCTCTGACACCCTCTTTAGTCCCAGTCCAGAAGCTTCAGTTCTCTCCTGCCTCCAGCAGCCCACACTTAGCAACCCGTCCCCAGCCCTTTGTTCTTCAGCTGGTCACATCCCACTGGCTTCCTAAGGAGGATGGGCCATGCATGGTCATTTGTTGCTAGGTGCCAAATCTCTGGGCAATTGGAGTGGCCATTGTCTTCTGGCACTCTCCATGGGCATGGGCCCCCAGGCATGCCTGTATCTCTGGGTCTCTGCAAAGAGCAAAGCAACCTTTTCCCCAGCCTAGTTAACCGTGCCCCGCATAGGGGAAATTGAGGCACACACACTATTCATCCAAAATATTATGAAAAATTCCCACTTCCTCATGGGGGGGCACTCTCCCCTCTGTGTTAGCACTGACCGCTGTGCCCCAGGACAGCGCTAAGGGGTGCTGTGCTGCAGGGAGTGGTGTGGGGCTCAGCAGGGGCGCTCTCCTCCCTGAGTCAGTGCTGAGCCCAGTGCCCCAGGATGGTCCCAGGGAGCCCTATGCTGATGGCAGCAGGAGGTGGCCCAGTGCAGGGTGCTGTTCCACCTCTGCCCCGAGGGGTGCTGTGCTGCGGGAGAGCTAGGGGAGGGGGAGACCTTTGTAGTCTGAGAACAATCCCTGTTTTAGGGCCATGATGATTTAGGCCAGGGATTCTCAAACCTTTTTTTTTCTGGGCCTCCTTTGGAAAATATTTAAGGATGTGGCGACCCCCCCAGCCAAAAAAAAAGATAACAAATTTCTGTACATGCTCCTAGGAGCATACTCACGGTATTGCCACTCTTACTTCTCTGCTGCTGCTGGTGGCGGCCCTGCCTTTACAGCTGGGTGGCAGCTGCTGAACCCCCTCACCCCCTCAAGCTCCCCATCACCCTGACAATATTTTTTGTGATCTCATGACCCCCCTACAATTGCCTTTTTGACACCCCCCCCCCCAGTCTGCGGCTTGGCAGAGCCTTAGGCCCTGGGCAGAGCTGCCGAAGGCTCAGGGTGTGTGGCTGCTTGATCAGCTCTCGGTGGTGAGTATTTCGTAGCGAGGAGAAATGCAGCTGAGGAGGGATTCTCGTGAGAACTCTCTGTAACAGCTGGACTAGGCATGGGTGCAGGTTGGCACCAGGCTCGGGAGCAGCGACATTTGACAGGAGGTTAACGAGACTGGGGGCCAGACCCATGGCTGGTGCAAAGATTTCAGAGGAGCGTTGCTCATTTCCAGCTGCAGAGGAGCCAGCCCTATGGAACCTGCCCTGTCTCCTGCATGAGTTTGGGGGAGATGCCGGCTGTCTGCACTGAGCCGAGCCAGGCACATCAAAGGAACCTGAGCGGAAGGAACGAGAGGAGCTCAGAGCTTTCAGCACAGAGCTGGGATTGGGAGGCTAAGTGGGTCACAGGAGGGGAGATGAGAAATGCGCTCTCGGCACAAGGCAGAAAGGGGCATGGCTTTCACCACCCCACAGCACGCCTGCCTGGTGGGACAGCTCAGTGAGCCAGCCTGGCTGGGCACTGGGGGCCCCTCCTTGTCCTCTGCATGTCACTTCTGTTCTTAATGCATCTTGTTAACCAAACCTGAGGCTCCTGCCTGGGAATCTCACCGCACTCCCGAGAACCATTGCACCCATCTCAGGGGAGGCGGCAATGGAGGGACTGGGGTGGGGTGCTGGCTCAGACGGTCATGGACTCGGATGGCAGGACGTGGGGAGGGACCGGGACATGGGGAAAAGCTGAGGCCAAGGGTGTCATGGGGCCAGTGGGCAGTCATGGGCAAAGGGAGGAGACTGGTACATTTCCCGGCTCCATGGTCTGGAGGCTAAGGGAGGAAAGGTTCAGATGAGGCCCCCGATAGCCAGCAGCCACCCCGTTAACAGCCCCCAACACCCCGAGGAACAGGCCCAGGTCGCTGCACAGTGGCAGTCCCAAAGGGACAGAGGAGCCTGCAGAATCCCATGCCCCAGAGCTGACAGCCCTGGCCCCACAATCATGGGTGCTAGCACCAGGGGTGTTGGGGGGGGCTGCCGCACCTCCTGGCTTGAAGTGGTTTCCATCATGTTCAGGGCTTATAGTTTGGTTCAATGGTTCTCAGCACCCCCACTGTACACATTGTTCCAGCCCCCCTGCCCACGGCAAGCCCAGGGTCCAGGCTGCTTCCTGGCGGGAACCAGGGGGAGGCTCGGTGTCTGGCAGCAGTGGCCGGGCTGCACTGTTAGAAGTGGCCACCAGAGGGCAGGCCATTCCCACAGCTGCTACCTATGCCAGGAGCAGTGCAGCGCAGCGCTCAGGTGGGCCAGGTACAGGGTGGGGGCTGGTGCGGGGTGGGGGCTCTGTTTGGGGCTCCAACTCGAGGAGTGCGGCTGACTCTCTGGGCAGGGTAATCCACGGGAGCCACATGCCAGGGACACAGATGTCAGATTCTGCTGTGGGGACCCCAGGCAGAAGGTTCAGGTGACCAACTGGATGGGGTCTTCCTGACCCACATGGTGCTAATGGGACATGCTGGGTGCTGGCCTCTTCACCCCCATCTCCAGGGGCACCAGGGGCTCCTGCTTCAGCTGGTACAACAGCGTCTCCCTGCCCCTTCTGGAGTGGGCCCAGGGGGGTTGTGGCCAGCTTGGCAATCGCCTGCCACCTCTCTGCTCACAGGTGGGTCTGGCCAGAGCCAGGTCATACTGTTCTACCTGGGAGCATGGGTTTGAGATGGGGCATCCCCCACAGGGGCACGCTGGCCCATACTCTGTAGGGGACTCAGGGTGTTCTATGCCAGGACCCCAAGGTCTTTGTGCCCCCTTCCCCATGTGCCCCAGCCCTGCTCACTTTAACACATGCTGCTCTTTGTACGTGGGCCCTCAGCACATCCCTGCAGGCACAGATCTGTAAGAGTTTCTCCTCTGGGGCTACCCAAGAGCCTCGGCCTGCCCTAGGACCATGGCTCTCCTTCCCAAGCAAGGCTCACTCCCCACACTGCTGCCCCCACGGGCACAATATTGTGCAGGTCACCCCTCGTCAAGCAGTCCCCATTGGGCAGACACAGCCACCCAGACAGCCTTGCCTGCCATCTCCCATCTGGGACGGCCCTGATCCTGCTTCCCCACAGCACCTGAGCAGGGGTGTGACTGGCAGGGCTAGTCTGTCTCTGAGTCACAGGCCAAGTCAGACAGCCGAGCTCCCAGGGGGAGAGGAGCAGGGATCCTTTCAGCAGGCCATTGGGGGCAGTGCCAAGCAGCTGGGCAGAGGCCTGGAAGTGTGGATGCTGGGTGCCTCTCGCACTTGCCTGAAGCTCAGCTCCCAGTGCCCAGGGGGCCTGTCCCAGACGGTCTGGTTCCAGGCCCTGGAGGGAAATTGCTGTCAGCTCTCCTGGTGCTGGAGTCGCCCCATCTGCTGCAGCGAGTGGGTCCCAGTGTAGCAACAGCCCTCAATCCCCCATCCTGCTCCCTGCAGCACAGCACGCCCTAGTGCCACACTGGGGAATTGGGGTCAGCACTGGCTGCAAGGGAAGAGTGCCCCCTACTAAACCCCCACCCCTCTCCCTACAGCACAGCGCCCCCTAGTGCCACGTGCATCTGATGGGGCCGACTTTTGCCCCCGACGCCCTGTCCTGCGTAGACCCTGGTGTGTGATGAGGCCCCACCTCCCGGCCCATGTGGGATTCCGAGCTCTGCCAACATCCTGCCAACAGTGCCAGGACCTGGACCTGCTCTGTTAAATGCAGATGCCCCCTGAGAATCCCACAGGGGGCCCCCAGTGCACGCCTGCTCAGCTCAGCGTCTCCGACAGTCCCATGCCAGTGGGGCAGAGTGGCAGTGGGTGCCCTCACCCAGGGAGCACCTTTCCAGGGCAGGCAGGGAGCAGAGACCCTTGCCATCCCGGGGCAGGGCAAAGGGCTCCCAGTCCCCGCTTTCTGCTTGCCCAGCCTGCTGCCCTCCAGCTGGCAGCGCTCAGTGGCACCCTGATGGGCTCCTGCGCCTTTAAATCCTCCAGCAGGTTGCGGGGCTGGTGACATCACTGAGTCCCCGGGCTGCGGGAGGGAGCTGAAAGCATCGTCGGGGAGGCAGCGATGGAGCAACCGAGCCGCAGCAGCCGGAGGCCGGGGCCGGGGCCGGGGCGGAGCAGAACCGCTGCCCCGCAGGCTGCGGCTGAGCCCTGCGGCGGCCCCCGCAAGGTGAGGCTCCGGCCGGCCCCGCGGGCAGCCCGGGCACACCTGAGCCAGGGAAAATGGAGCCTCCCCGCGAGAGCCGGGCAGCGCTGCCCCCCGGGGTGCCCCGAGTGCCGGGCCGGCTGCTCCCCACGTGCCCGGCCCCGGCTCTGACCGGCTGTGAGCTCTGGTGACCGGCTGCCCCTGCCCCTTGGGCAGCCTGGACCCCGGAGGGGCGAGTGATGCCAGGGGTCGGGGCTGGCAGAGCTGCCCCGACGGGGCACGGATCCGTTAGTCTGATGACCCCAGGCTGCCCCCCGGCCCAAGTCCCTCGCCCAGCTGCGCGAGGGGCCTGGCCGCGGTCCCATGCACCTGTGGCCCGGGGGGAGCTGGTTCACGCTGGCAGCACCAGCCGACCTCTCGCCCACCTGGTGACAGAGTCGCTGCTTTTGGCAGGTGAGTCAAATAATGGCTGGTGGTTTCTCCTGCTCCGCCCCAGGCCGGGGAGCGCTGGAGGGCCTGGGCTGAGCTATTTTCATGGCAAGTGAGTGGAGGAGCGGAGCTTGGGGGAGGCGGGGGAGGTTGCGGGGGGCTGGGTCCCGGAGGGAGCTGGGCGCTGCTCTGTGCCCGGAGTAGAACCCAGGAGACCTGCCTGTGGCTTCCCAGCGGGACAGCTCTGCCCGGGGCAGGAAAGAGCCTGGTGAGGTGGAGGGGCGCGGGTCTGGCTGGCTCCGCTGTCCAGTGCCCCCCATCTCTGAGCCCCATGGGGGGATTTCATTGGTTTGCGCCAGACTCTGGCAGCTCTAGTAGCTTGGCCTGCTGTGTGTGCACCTGCCTTGGTGCCCCCAGCCATGCTTTGCCCCCCACCCCCCCTGCGAGCACTGGCCGAGCTGACACCCAGCACCCGTGTTACCCAAGAGCCAGTCAGCTGCTTCCTCTTCCCCTTCCTGCTAGCAACGGGGACGTTCCTGGGGCGAAAAGCAGCCCCTGCCTTTGCAGGGAGCCAAGCGGCCGAGGCGTCCCATGCCCGATGGGCCAGCAGCCCCAAAGCGGGGTCCCCGGTATGGGAAGGGTTAAGGGAACGGTGCAAATGTCAGCAAGTCTGAGCTGGGCTGGAGAGGGGAAATGAAGGGCATGGAGGGGCCATGTGAGCACAGGGATCCATGGAGGGAGAACGGTGCCTAGCTCCCCAGGTGCCAGCGACTAGCTACCCACAGCCCAGCCCCCTGCCGGCAGGTGGGACGTCCCGTCTGCCCCACGGCAGGGAGAGCCAGCCAGGAACTGGGTCCCCAAGGCCAATGCTCTTCACACAAAGGGGCCTCACGTCGGACACCGAGGCCAAGCTGTTCCCAGGGGCTGGTGGCTCTGGTTGTCCCAGCACGAGGGGACCTGATCGTCCCTAAGAGCTGGGAGCCTGGCCCCCGTGGGCTGGGTGGCCGGAACTGCTAGTCCAAGTCCTGCTGGGGGACTGGTACTGTGGCCTGTTGTACCAGCAGGGGCAGAGGGCTCTGCCCCCCGATGCTCCCACCCCACAGCCAGTGCCCCGAGGCTGCTGACCTTGTGCTAAAGTGAACAGAGGCTAGAACCCAGGAGTTCGGGCTAGTCCTCTGCTCTAATGGCTAGTAGCAGAGGGGAGGCGGGTGCCTTGGTACAGGGGAGATGGGTGGGCAGCTCAGGCACAGCCCCTTGCCCACCGGTGCCAAGCGCTGCCAGAGAGGACAAGCCCCTGGGGGGGGGGGGGAGACCCCCAGCAGCAGGGCTCCAGGCTGTTAGCTGGGAAGGGAACACTCCCGAGGGAGGAGTAGGCTGGCTGGGCAGAGCAGCAGGAGCGAGGTGACCGCATGGCCGGGCTGTGTCATGCTGCTGGGCTGGCAGAGATGGGGGATGGGGGGGGGCTTTGGCAGAGTGGGGTTTGTGCCAGGGGCTGCCGGCTTTGGGTGCAGCCAGGTCTCTCCATCCCCACTCCTTAATCCAGCCCGGCCCCAGGCCAGGCCAGCCAGAGGGTGTGTGTGTGTGTGGGGGGGGGGGGAACGAGCTGGGGATCCCCCTGATGGGGGGTGTCCCTTCACTCAGCTGGCTCCTGGACTCGCGTGACCCCCATTCTCCCTGGCATGCCTCGCACTGGCACTGCTGGCCACGCCTTGCCCCCATGCAGCAGGGCAGCGGCGCCATTCTCCAGCATCTCCTGCCCTAGACGGGTGTTCCCAGCATGCATAGCTCCAACCGACCAGCCTGGCGCCCCAGCTGGACACTCTGAGCATGGCAGTGAGTGGCATGTGGCGGGGCAGCAAGAAGCTCCTGGGTGTGACTACCCTGATGCCAATGGCATCTCTCCTGACCCCCGGGGGGTGCACGCGAGTGGGCAGCCGGGCCCTCTGTTTTTCTGGGCTCTGATGAATCTGCTGCCCCATGCTGTGTAGCAGGCCCTGCACCTGCCAGCCTCTATGCCCCCAGGATCTCACTGGTAACTCGCTGGAGTGGGCAGGGCACCGGCCTGCCAGGCGCTCTCTCCTCTCTCCTCCCCGTGTGCTGAGCTTGCTGATCAGACTGGAGCAGCCAGAGAGGGGACCCGCTGCTCCCTCCTGGGTGCCAGGCCCAGCCCTGCAGAGGCAGGACTCCGGGCACTCGCTTGGCACCATGCACTGCAGAAACTGTGCCACTGTGCAGCCCTGTGTGCGCCCTGGCCTCAGGGCTTTGACCCCTAGGAGCTGCGATGTGCTTGCCAGCTGCCGTCCTCTGCACCCCAGAGTTAGCCCTCTCAGAGTGCTGAGCCCAGGGGACAGGCAGGAGACGGGGGGGGGGGCTGTTGCGGCCATAGCCCCTCATGCAGACTTGGGAAGGCAGCAGGAGCTCTGAGGAAGGTCCCTGACTTCCCTTCCCCAGGGTGGAGACAGGCTGCTGTGAACCCCAGGCCCTGAGAGCCCCGAGCACACGACATGGCTCCGGGCAGGGGCACGCTTTGCTGGTGTGCTAATGTGCATGTGGCAGATCTGGAGCCACCCTCCCCACCCCCACGTGCTCCAGAGATACCCCTGGAGCTTTCTTGCGGGTACGTGCCTGCTTGCCCAGTGTCCCAGCGCAGCCCCGGTGAGCCTGGGGAGGACAGGCAGAGGACAAACCTGGTGCAGAGACCTCTGGCCCGCACAAGGGCCTTTGGCCTCCATGTGACTGTCAGGGGGAGCCTCTAGCTCCAGTGGATGGGCCCTGGCCCTCCTAGGCTACTGCAGGCTTGGCCTGAAACAGGGCAGACACTCGCCTCTTGAAAGCAAAGGTATGGCCTGCAAAGGATCCAGGTCCCAGCATGCACTGCTGCATCTTGGTCCCACACCAAAATGGAGTCTGGCCCGCTGGGGCCTATGGGCTGCACTTTCATAGGCAGTGGGCCCATGAGTGCTGGGCACAGGATGGGTGGGTAAAGTGCACATCTCGGGGTGGGGGCATCTCCGGAAGCTGGGCGCCCCTGGGAGGAGCCCATCTCAGGATACGGGGGCATCCCTGGAAGGGGGGGTATCTCTGGAAGGGGGTGTCCCTGGAAGGAGATCATCTCGGGGTGTCCCTGGAAGGGTGGCATCCCCAGCATGAGTGCGTCTCGGGGTGCAGGGATGGGCGAGGGCCAGCATCCAGGCCAGGGGATGCGAACGTGGCAGGGGCTCATGCACACCCTATCTGTTCTCTCTCTCAGATGGAGCCGGCTCACCGTGGGAACAAGGACCAGGGACCGGCCTCGGCCATGGGGGCCCCGTCTCTATCGCCGAGGGGCTCCATCACCGCCACCTCCCCGGGACTGTTTGCTCCCCTCATGGCCCCGTTCGGGGCGGAGGGCTCAGTTCGGTTCCAGCCGGAGGGCTCCAGTGGGCCCATCTCAGCAGCGTACCCCGGGGGGAACCTCCCCCTGGGGCACAGCGGCTCCAGGCCCGACACCCTCTTTGACCCTTTCCATCCCATCTCCCCTCGCTCGCAGCCCGAGGGCTCCCAGCACGTGGGGCCGGAGGAGAGGTCCCCGGGCAGGCACAGCCAGTCCCTGGCGCTGGAGAGCAGCAGAGCCCAGCCCGACGGCTCAGGTGGGGCCCAGCTGTTCAGCTTGCTGTCCCCGGTGGAGTTTTGCCCGCTGTCCCCGGGCACTGGCAGCCCCTCCTCCCGCCCCAGCCCGGCGCCCGCTGGGAAGCTCAGCCAGTCGCCCAGCCGATCCACACACCCCGAACTCTGCCCCCTGGATCAAGGGCCCTCTGGGCAGATGCTCCCTGTGGAGCGGAAAGAGGCACTCCCCAAGGCAGAGTCCAGTGACTATATCTCCGGGGGCAGAACTAGCTCGTCCCCCAGACCCGTGAGCCTCCCCAAAGCCATCTCCAGCGAGTTCCTCTCCGGGGGAAGGATCGGCCCCTCCAAGTCCATGGCCCTGGCCAAGGTCGAGTCTGAGGAGTTCCCCTCCTACGGGAGGAGCAGCCCGTCCCTCGCCCTGCCTGGCTGCATGGACCCCCCCGAGGCTCCCGTGAGCCGGCTGGGCAAGGCCAAGGAGAACGGCGCGTTCTGGTGAGCGTGAGCTGCAGCGCTGGGGGAGGGGGGGATCAGTCTGATCCCTGGGGGGCTGGGAAGCCTATTTCAGGGCCAGGGCATGCTCAGAGCCCTGCTGCGGTCGGCTGGGCAGGGGGAGGAACCGGGAGAGGCTCTGGCTGAGTGCCAGCATGGAGGAGCAGAGTAATGCCCCGCTCCGGTGCTCTCTGCAGGTGGCCGCAGCATGCTCAGCAGAGTCAGGGCCAACTGCCCAGCTCAAAGGCCAGCCCAGAGTGGATGGGCAGAGCCCCTTCGGGAGCTGGAGCACATGGGGGCAGGTGGGGTGTGTGCCACCTGCCTGCCGACTGCTCCTAGTCCTGGCAGCGGCCGGGGATGTGATCCCCGTGCGGGGCTCAAAGGGCAGCGGGGTCAGTTGTGTAGCTGTCTGTCCATTCAGCTCCCTAGCTTGGGATCCGGGCCTAGCCTGCCTGCCCCATACATCTACCCTGCAGCTGGAACCCACCTTCTTCAGCAACTTCAACTGTCCAGCAAGGCTGGCGTTCAGTGCCATGGCGTGACTGATAGCAGCTCTGCGCGAGGACAGCACACACATGCCCTGGGCTCCGGGCCCCTCTACCAATCCCAGCCCTTCACAAAGAGAGAGCCAGCAGCTGCTCCAGAGGAAACAGCCCAGCTTCCCCCCCCCACCCGATGCCAAGGCATTCCCTGCTCCTCCCTTCCTCCCCCAGGTCTGCCACATGCTTCTAAGGCAGGGCAGCAAACTCAGGCAGACCGTGGGGAGGGAATTGGGTTCCAATGTCTCCCCCGAGCTCAAACCCAACCCCTTCCACACCACCCAGAATCCAGTAAGCTCCTGGATCAGGGGTATGGTGACCAGATGTCCCGCTTTTATAGGGACAGTCACGATTTTTGAGTCTTTTCTATTTAGGCTCCTATTACCCCCAGTCCCTGTCCCGATTTTTCACATTTGCTGTCTGGTCACCCTAATGAGGGGAGAGACCCACGAGAGACCCCATTTCTGCACCAACTTCCTGGCTGGGGTCAGCTGCAGCCTTGTGTGTGACCCATGGCTGCGGCATGGTCCCTGGGGACTCAGATGCAGCCACTGCCCTCCCCCCACCTCTGTCATCTTGTGCAAATAAGCTAATGAATCAAGTTACATTTTGCAAGTAATTTGCATGTCACTAGAACCACCAAGTCCTGCCCTGAGCAGTGGGGCAGAAGGAGTCATCATGGGGCTGCACAACCCCAGGCAGCTTGTTGGGGTGGGTGGCTGCTCATTAGGGTGACCAGACAGCAAGTGTGAAAAATCGGACAGGGGGTGGGGGGTAATAGGAGCCTATATAAGAAAAAGACACAAAAATCGGGACTGTCCCTATAAAATCGGGACATCTGGTCACCCTACTGCTGATACAACTGGGGATTAGCAGGCTCCTGGGGGTGGGGGGCTGCAGGGAGCCTGGGGCCAGCCTGGTGTTGCTATCCCGGCCCTGAGCCCACAGGGCAAGGGGCAGAAGCTCCACAGAGGCTGCTAGTGTCAAAAGACACTGCTGTAGGTGAAGGCCTTCCTGCCGCCCAGCCGGGTGTGTGACAGTCCAGCTGAGGCGTGGGTGTCGAGGCAGGGTTGAGCCCTGTGCCTGCCACGCCCTGGTATGGACCACGCGCCCAGGGGCTAGCACTTGCTGAGTGCACTCGGTGCGTAGCATGCCCAGTGCGGTGTTCTTAGCCCAGCTGAGCTCCGCTTGCAGCGGGGCGGGGTGCCCAGCAGCCTCTTCCTCGGGCACAGCCTTGCCAGATCCCGACCTCATTCATTAGCCTTTGCCATGGCTGGTTCTCTCTCCCCACAGGGCAGCAGCTCCGAGGCAGAGGGGTAAGCAGACTGTGGGGGAGGGGCACCCTTGTCCCAAAACCTGAGCGTGGCTCCCTTTATCTTTCCAAGGATCACCGTGGTCACGTGGAACGTTGGCACAGCCATGCCCCCGAGCGATGTGACCTCCCTGCTGCACCTCAACACGGGTGACACAAACGACACCGACATGATCGCCATTGGGTAAGGGGCGCCATGCGCCGGTGTTGGAGGAGGCTGCCCTGCGGTAGGTGGGTCCCAGAGAGGCCAGGAGACCTACTTCTGTGGTCACCAAAAGGAATCGTCCACTAGCCCAAGCAATAGAGCCTCTTTTGAAGCAGAAAGATCCAGGTTCTAGTCCCAGCTCCCCAAGTGTGCGTGCTGCTCCTGCATACGGCGTACGACAGCAAGGAAGATGATTCAGAATAAAACACACGATAAAGATATAACAGAAAATGTAGCCCAAACACTTTTTAACCCCCTCAAATCCACCCTCCAGCCCTCCTCACTCCCCCGATCCCTGCTTGCTATACATGGCAGAGCCCAGCCCATACAAATGCCCCTGCACCTCTCAGGACTGGGCCATGGACAGTTCAACATCCCCTCCAAAGCCTCGTAGGAGTCTCTCTCTCTGCGATCAGCCCTTGGCCATAGTAAGCAGCCCTCAAGGGCATGGATCCATTGTTCTGTTCAAGCTGGATTGGAGCCAGCCCCTGGTAACACTTAATGCAGTTCTTAGCTACCAACGAGGCAGCTTCCAATTCAACGCACGGAGACTTTGTTGGCACGACAAGCCAGACGAGTGTTGCCAAAGTGCAAGAAAAAGACAGGCCCTTTGGGTACTATTGTAGTGGTTTACATTAGTACCTGGGAACCCTAACTGAGATCAGGGCTCCATTGTTCAGAGATAGTCCCTCTCCCAGAGACCTTCCAGTCCAAATGAGGCTGCTTGTGGGCTTGCTCTCTCTCCTGCTGGACTCCCCCATCCAGGCTGGGAGTCGCACACAGCACAGGAGATTCAATTCCCTGTACCCGTTTATGATCACTGTCCATTCCTAGGGCTCTCCAGGTTCCTTGACACCTCTGGCCCACTTGCCTGGCCCCCACAGGCATGGTGCCCAGGGGCCTGGCACTGTTTAAATTCCTCTCTGCTTTTTGATGCGACGTCTTCAACCAGCAGGTTCCCTCGGGAGGGTGTGGGATCCCCGTCACTGGAAGTTTAAGAACAGGTTGGACAATGCCTGTCAAGGCTGGTCTAGGTTAACTTGGTCCTGCCCCAGCACAGGGGCTGAGGACCTGACCTCCCGAGGTCCCTTCCGTTCCAGCCCCACATTTCTATGATTCTATCCCTGAGGCAGTGTCTCCCGCCCTTTGCTTTTGTTAACAGCTGCCTGGGCTGAGCTAGGGCAGGCTGTTAATAATGCAAAGCCACGGGTGGTGCAAACCTTGGCAGAACTACAGTGTGAATAGGGGCACAGAACCCCTGCGGGGTCCCCAAGACCCCTGTCTGGCGGTTAAGCCCTGCCTTGCTGGCTGTAGTGTTTGACTCACCCTGAGCTGCCAGCCGGGCACAGTGCAGAAGCCCCCTCCTCTGCCAGCGGCAGGGACTCTCCTGGGGGGATTTCCATCTCCCTGCTCCCTCCAGCACTGGGCCTCTGCCCCTGTCTGAGGGAGTTGCCCCTAGCTGACGCCCGGGCAGTCTCCTGGCAGGGAGGAGTGCCCGCTGGCTGGAGGGCTGCTGGGGAGTCTTTCCAAGCCTGCAGTCAGACCTGTCTGTCTCCCTTCCAGGCTGCAGGAAGTGAACTCCATGATCAACAAGCGCCTGAAGGACGCCCTCTTCACAGACCAGTGGAGTGAGCTCTTCATGGACGTGCTGAGTCCCTTCAACTTTGTATTGGTAGGGGGGGTTGGGCTCGAAGGCCTGCTTGGTTTGAGCAAAAATCTGATTAAATCAAACTGGGTACCCCACCCAGCAGTGCAGGCAGCCAGGGCCTCCCTACGCCCCCCCAGCCTGGCAAGCTGACACAGTTCCCCATCCCAGGTCTCCCTGGGTGGTGATTTGAAGGAGATTGCTCTAACGCCTAAACAATGCACAGGGAGAGCAAGACCCTGCCACCACTTAATTGGGTGACTCTGGGCAAGACCCTTCCCTGATCTCTGCCTCAGTTTCCCTCATTGCACCACGGAGAAGTGACACCCTGCCCCACCTTTGCAAGGTACTAAGAATCTGGGACATGAGGCACTTCTTGTCCCATGGGTGTCTCCTTAGTGCCGTTTGGGCTACTTCTTTGAATTAAAGTTTGGGGTGAGGTCAAAGAGTAGAGGGGAGCTGGTGGAGAGTCAGGAGTGGGGTTGGGGTTGGCAAGTCGGGGAGCGCAGAGAACGTACAAAGCTCATGACAGTGGTATCTGGTGCCAGGCACCTTCCATGGGCTTCTGCCTGTGATCTGAACACTCCCAGCCCCCTGGCCCCCTTTGTGTGTGTCCTCACAGCTGTCTCCATGGCAACTTGAGACTGTGAGGTCACAAGCACAGTTAAACTCTTCTAATGGGGGCCCCAAATGCTGGGTGGGCAGTACTGTGTCTGGCTCCTCCCCTGCCAGAGGGGTGGGGGTGTAACTGTACCTGGGCCCAGGAGTGGAGGGCAGGTCTTCCCCAGAAGCACAAGGGTGGGGGCTGCTCTGCCATGGGGGCCTGAGCCCACCCCATTTCCAGTGGATCTACCCTGTGGCCTGGAGCCCATGGAGCTGCCCTGTGCCATCCCATGGCCCTGCGGCTCACAGCACTCCCCACCATGCCTGCCCGGCCAGCCCAGCATACCTCCCCATCCTGCTGGTCCCTTGCTGGCCCACCGCCCCCATCCCTTGGGGGGCTAGCACAGCCCCCAGCGCACTGCGTGTGGAGCCCTGGGCTTTGAGCAGCCGCCGGACTCTGGCCTGATCCGAGGGCCTAAGTGCCCACCCCCATCCAGGGAACTAAGCCCCGCTGGGACTCTGGGATAGCGCCTGTTGCCAAGAGCGTGCTCTGCAGGGTCCATTCCTGGGGCAGTGGCATGCTGGCGTGAGCCTGGCTGCATAAGGATTGCCTGGGAATGGATGCTGCGGATCAGGGAGCCGGCTGGGTACCAAACACAGGACAGGGTGGGTGCTCCCGGTCACAGCAAGCTGCAGATCTGCATGCTTGGGGTGGCTGCCATCTGCTCTGGCTGGCGCATAAACACCCCTCAGTGCTGTGCCATGTGCCAACGCTGACCAGTCCTGCCAGGCCTGCCCCAGGGAAGGTGGGTCAGTGCCATCAGCCCTGTCTCGCAGATGGGGAGACTGAGGCAGGCAGGGGCAGGGAGTGGGGGGGGGGGCACCTGGGCAGAGCTGGGATTCTAGCTGAGGTGCTGGCCCAGCCCTGCACCTCAGCCCCATGCCCCCTGCCATGCAGGGGAAAAGCCCTGGAATGGCTGCCCTGCCTCACGCCCTTCTCTCCCTGTTGCAGGTGAGCACGGTGCGGATGCAGGGTGTGATCCTGCTGGTGTTTGCCAAGTACTATCATCTCCCCTTCCTGCAGGACATCCAGACGGACTGCACCAGGACCGGGCTGGGCGGCTACTGGGTGAGGAGGGTGCTCTGGCAGGGGTGGGGGGATGTGACTCCGGGGGGGGGGGGGGGCTCCCCTCCTCCGATGACACAGCTTGGGTTCCTCTTGGAGCAGGGCAACAAGGGCGGGGTCAGCGTGCGGCTCTCCATCTTTGGCCACATGGTCTGTTTCCTGAACTGCCACCTGCCAGCTCACTTGGAGAAGGCCGAGCAGCGCAAGGAGGATTTCACCACCATCCTCAACATGCAGCAGTTTGAGGGACACGTAGCCAGCGGCATCCTGGACCACGAGTATGTACCCCCCGGCTCCTTCCACTCCCTGCCCGCCCCACCCACCGGCTCTGATTGGGGCTTGGAGCTGAGTCTGCAGCTCCACCCCTCTGAAACGGGCCGTGTCCCGCCCCCAGGAGCCAGATTCAGGTGCTGAACCCCTGCATCCAGCAGGGTTCCCAGCGGGGGCTCTGCTTTGGGAATTGCAAGCCAGCACCTTGCCTGGGGAGTGCTGTGTGGTCCCCACGTGGATTTGGGTCCTGGGCCTCCCTTGGCCCTTCAGTCCTAAACCCAGCTGGGATTGCTCTGCAGCAGCACCCATCTGAATCTGTGGCCCCTCTGGATGTGTGCTGGGCACAGGGCTGTGTGTACACGGCCATTCTCCTGTGCTGGCAGATGGCTTCCTCCAGGCTAGCTGGGGGGCAGGGAGTCTGCTTCAGGCCTGTCAGGTTGTGGTTTGCTCTGCCCACTTCCCACCATGCTCTCGTGCTCAGTGCTAGCAGGGCTGCAGGCCCCGGGACAGCCCCACCAGCTAGCGCCTGGCAGTGGAAATTTCCACCCCGGGTTCGCGCTCTCCCGTTTGATCCATGGAAAGTCGGATGATCTGAGCAGAAGGTTTCAGCTAATTATCCCCAGGGCTGCCGGGCCCTGCACCTGAGCTGCTCCCGCAGCGGGGCTGGCAGCTGGCCAGCGCGTTATCGGCAAAGCACTGACCTACATTCCCTCGCTCGCACAGCTGGGCTGCTGAGAGCGCCTGCGCAACTGGGTGAGATTGACTCCTGTCCCCAGGCCTCCCTGTGTCAGAGACACGTGTACCGGCTCCTGCTCTGCCCCCGCCTGCCCGGGCGCTCCCCTGTGCGTCCAGGGTCCTGCCCAACACCCCCCATCCCAGGACCCCTGTGCATCCAGGGCCCCACCCAACAGCGCTCTGTGCATCTAGGCTCCCCATGTGACCAGGCTCCTGCCCTGCCCTCTGTCACGGAGTCCCTGGGCGATGCTCTGGAACTGCTCCCCATGAAGCCAGTCAGGACTCTGGGGAAGTCTCCTTTCTGGGAGCAGCCTGTCTTCAGGACACACAGCTCACACAGCTTCCACCTTCCTGGGTCTGACCTCGGAGCATTCAGCATCCTCTGCCCCTCCGTGCGCTTCCCCCAGCGAGTCCACCCAGGCGGGGCTCCTGGGGAAGCCAGAGGGTCCTGCCCCCCAACTCCGCAGTTAGACGTGACTCCCAGCCAGCCAGCCAGTAAAACAGAAGGTTTATTAGATGACAGGAACATGGTCTAAAACAGAGCTTGTAGGTGCAGAGAACGGGACCCCTCAGCTGGGTCTATTTTGGGGGGGCAGTGAGCCAGACAACCACGTCTGCCCTTCACTCCATGTCCCAGCCAGCCCCAAACTGAAACTCCCTCCAGCCCCTCCTCCTCTGGGCTTTGTCCCTTTCCCGGACCAGGTCACCGGATTCCTTTGTTCTCCAACCCTTCAGCTCTCACCTTGTAGGGGGGAAGGGCCCAGGCCATCAGTTGCCAGGAAACAGGGTGTCGGCCATTCTCTGTGTCCAGACCCCTGCACACACCTGCCTTCTAGGGCTCTGCAATGATCATACACCCTTATCCCACCCCCTAGATACTTAAGAACTGCCTAGGGGAAACTGAGGCACCCCCCACAATATTCAGAGGAAACATTAAGAACAGTCCCACTTTGTGACATCTCTCCCCCCTTCAAGAATTAACTGGGCGGGGTCACTTTAGGCGGTGACCTGTGGAAGTTCGAAGCCACCAACGTTCCCATGGATGCCCCAGCATCTCTCCCATTCCTTGGTAGGAGTTACACCAGGCCCTTCCAGTTTCACGCCCTCCCTTAGGTTGGGGGTGGTCGATAACACTCGCAGCCCGCATGTGGGAAGGTTTATGTGGCCAGTGCCCTTTGGCCACTCCAAAACCCCAGGGGGTCAAACTGGGATTGGATCTTTTCCCCAACAAGCTGGCCAAACACAGCCACTTGGTTATAGGACTGTTTAACTTTCTTAACAGCTTTCACTTCATCTGAGACCTTCTCAAAGCTATCCACACTGGATCTTTCAACAGGAAAGTCAGTGGATCCATTCACAGCAGAAAATTTCTGGCTGTTAGGACCTGAAACTTTCTTGATTCAATCACTTTCACACCCTTCAGTTGCAGTAAACTGCTTGCAAAGACTCCATGAGGATTCCTTTCCCTAGGGCTTTTCTATGCAACAATTCACACTTCTCAGAAAATCTGCTCTTACCCTCTTTACCTAGGGCTTGCTCTGGAGGAACACTTTCCTGAGCAACAACAGACTCTTTCCGGGTCTCCCTTACATCCAGAATTACCTCTGGCCCATCCGGCGGATTCCTACACAATCCCCTTTCAGGCAAATTTACAGACTTCCTAGAGAAAAGGTCATAGAATCATAGAATCATAGAATATAAGGGTTGGAAGGGACCTGTCACGGAGTTCCTGGGCGATGCTCTGGAACTGCTCCCCATGAAGTCAGTCAGGACTCTGGGGTAGTCGCCTTTCTGTGAGCAGCCTGTCTTCAGGACACACAGCTCACACAGCTTCCACCTTCCTGGGTCTGACCTCGGAGCATTCAGCATCCTCTGCCTCTCCGTGCGCTTCCCACAGCGAGTCCGCTCAGGCGGTGCTCCTGGGGAAGCCAGAGGGTCCTGCACCCCAACTTCGCAGTCAGACGTGACTCTCAGCCAGCCAGTAAAACAGAAGGTTTATTAGACGACAGGAACATGGTCTAAAACAGAGCTTGCAGGTGCAGAGAACGGGACCCCTCAGCTGGGTCCATTCTGGGGGGCAGTGAGCCAGACAACCACGTCTGCACTTCACTCCATGTCCCAGCCAGCCCCAAACTGAAAAACCCCTCCAGCCCCTCCTCCTCTGGGCTTTGTTCCTTTCCCGGGCCAGGAGGTCACCTGATTCCTTTGTTCTCCAACCCTTCAGCTCTCACCTTGCAGGGGGGGAAGGGCCCAGGCCATCAGTTGCCAGGAAACAGGGTGTCGGCCATTCTCTGTGTCCAGACTCCTGCACACACATGCCCTCTAGGGCACTGCAATGATCATACACCCTTACCCCACCACCTAGATACTTAAGAACTGCCTAGGGGAAACTGAGGCACCCCCACACTATTCAGAGGAAACATTAAGAACAGTCCCACTTCGTCACATCTCTCCCCCCTTCGAGATCGAACTGAGCGGGGTCACTTTAGCCGGTGACCTGGGGAAGTTCGAAGCCACCAACGTTCCCATGGATGCCCCAGCATCTCTCCCATTCCTTGGTAGGAGTTACACCAGGCCCTTCCAGTTTCACGCCCTCCCTTAGGTCAGGGGTGGTCGATAGCACTCGCAGGCCGCATGTGGGAAGGTTTATGCAGCCCATGCCCTTTGGCCACCCCAAGAATGTCTCCCCATTGACCATCACCTTCTACTCCCACTGGAGGTCCGGGGGGCCTGGCCCCAGGAAACTCCACACAGACATATAGGTTGGGGTCAGGAGTGGGAGCCTGTCCACATCCCCAACCACCTGGCTGACGGAGTCTATGGCCTTGGGACCCAGCAAGGGAGCTAGACACCGGGGCTTTTCCGCAGGGTCCCCTTGGTTCAAATCGCCAGCCTGCTCAAAGGCAGTGAGGTGGGCATCCACACCCCCCCCTCCTTAACCAGGGGCAGCAATTTAGTCTCGAGGTTCCCTGCGGAACTGGCCCCCCGGGATCTATCCCCACTCACCCCGGGGAGGTCCCCTAGGCCTCTCCGCCCCACCACCGCCAGTTCATGCTGCTGCTGCTTCTGCAGCTCTTTCTCGGGCTCTCGCTGTCTCCCACGGTCCTCTTGCTCTCTCAGACTCAGCTCCAATCCCGTCCGTCTCGATCCCCCGATGGGGAACCTGATCGTGAAGACCCTCGTCTGGTCGGGGACAGGAGTCTTGGCGATGCCTGGCTCCCGCTTCAGCTGCTCCCAGATCCTGCTATAGCCCCAGTTGGGGTCAGGAATCTGTTCCTTAGAGCGGTCATCCTCCTCCAGCTGCACGATTAACTCTGCTTTGGTGAACTTTCCAATGCTCAACCCTCTCTTTCTGCACAGGGTTACAATGTCCTTCTTAAGGAGACGGTGACAGGCCATCACTCCGCTCCTCCCAAGTTGTTGTGGACTCACAGGCCCCTGTGTTCTCAGCTCCCCACGGTTTCCAGGGAGAACCCCTAGTGTGCCAGCCCTTCTCAAGGTCACCACCTCTTTGCCAGGGTCGAGCTGCAGACTCCTCCGCCCCTGAGACTGCTCACTGCAGTCCCCAGGGGGACCCCATTACTGCACAGTACTTCTCGCTGGTCACACACTCCCAGGGGTTAACCGCCCCCGAAACCGCTCCTCTCTGAGCCTTCAGCAGGCCTGGTCCTCGGCAATCCCCCTTCGTGTTACTGCTCCCCAGTCACTTACTGCAGGAAGCGCCATCCACGGGGTGCAGTAGATCCCACAGCTGCCACCAGTTGTCACGGAGTTCCTGGGCGATGCTCTGGAACTGCTCCCCATGAAGTCAGTCAGGACTCTGGGGTAGTCGCCTTTCTGTGAGCAGCCTGTCTTCAGGACACACAGCTCACACAGCTTCCACCTTCCTGGGTCTGACCTCGGAGCATTCAGCATCCTCTGCCTCTCCGTGCGCTTCCCACAGCGAGTCCGCTCAGGCGGTGCTCCTGGGGAAGCCAGAGGGTCCTGCACCCCAACTTCGCAGTCAGACGTGACTCTCAGCCAGCCAGTAAAACAGAAGGTTTATTAGACGACAGGAACATGGTCTAAAACAGAGCTTGCAGGTGCAGAGAACGGGACCCCTCAGCTGGGTCCATTCTGGGGGGCAGTGAGCCAGACAACCACGTCTGCACTTCACTCCATGTCCCAGCCAGCCCCAAACTGAAAAACCCCTCCAGCCCCTCCTCCTCTGGGCTTTGTTCCTTTCCCGGGCCAGGAGGTCACCTGATTCCTTTGTTCTCCAACCCTTCAGCTC